TGCTTCTCTGATGTACATTCATTAAACATATATCATTAATAATCTATGAATTTATAAAGTATTTTGGAAGAGAAAATTTCCTTAACACCTTTCTTTTCATGACACCAAAATTTATAACATTAAACTCGTGCAAAACTGCATCCTATTGTAAATAAACACCATCTTTCCGTATTAAACTGGCTGATCCAAAAACTTGAAACTGAAACTTTCATAGTATGGCGTACATTTATAAATTGAGTTAGCAAAAAAGGTAATGGTTCATACTTTAATTGGATAAAATTTTTAATAGTGAATTTGATGTGCAAAAATGAGAACTGGTTTTATAACATTTACGCGACAAAATAGTAGAAATAGGATATTTGTTGATTATCCGGATATCAATAGTAAGCGGATATCTGAATAAATTCAGATCCGGATATCTGATAATTAGGCCGGATAAACGTTTAACGGATTGGAACTCTACATTCTAAATTAATGGTGATATTAAAATGAGAGAGATTATAGCAATAAGATAGAAAATTATTGTTAGTACACGTCACTCTGGTTATATTGGCAACTCCAGTAATGGAAAGATTGTCGATATCAGTTTAATAGGCATCTCTATCTAGACATTTATATTGATACTGTGTAGATATGTCTGTTTAGGCAGAGATAAATTTTGTTTTCACCAGGAATAACAAATTTAGCAAAAATGAATTTATTTTAACACAAAACAAATTTTGTTTTATGTTTAACATAAAGTGAATTCATCTTATGCTTGCATGAAATGAATTTATCTTATGCTTAACTTATTTTATGCTAAACATAGAGTAAAAAAATTTTGTTTCATTTTAAACTTAGCATAAAACGAATTCGTTTCATGCTAAGCATTGCTTATTTTATATCAAATATTGTAAAAAAAGATTTCGTTATATGCTAAGCTTGGTATAAAGCAAATTTAAAAATTAATTTGATTGGTCCAACTATAAAATATCTCTTTATGATTGTTGGTATAACCAACAAATTTTAAAATGGATTGTTTTTTTTTTTTGAGAAAGTGTCGACATAACCAATTGTCAGCTGTCGGTATAACCCGAGTTTTTAGATCTTAATTATAATGGTTTAAACTTTAGATTTATTGCCTAAATTTTAAATAAATATCTATTAAACAAAATTTATACGTAAAGTTATTACTAGCAGATTCTTCTACGATTTATCTATTTGAGACTAAATTTGGTTATATTTCGATACATATCTCGAAGAATAGTATTTGAGAATACCTAGCTGGTATAAAACATTGAAGACTGACAAAGTTGAACGAAAGATGTATCGGACATCCCAAGTCTTTGTTAAATACCTGAATATTTTGCATTATTTTATCTTGAATGAAAATAAATTAAGCTCATTAATAAAAAAGAATTTGCCAATCTATTATACAAACCCATATGCAATCCACAGCACGTAAAAATATGCAACAAAACATAGGATAACGGCAGGATCTAAACACCTAAATATGGACTCTTGATTCTATCATTTTCTTATTTAAACAGCTAGTTTTCTTCGAGCAGCCGTGAAACCACTAACTGATGTGGTTTCTCGCTCGTCCTACTGTTAATACGATCGTTTCAGCTTACAATCGCGTATATTATTATCGTTTCAGTTTAATCACAATCACCCCTATAGTTACACCACCACGACTTGTAGAAACTTTATTTAAAATGTACTTATTGTAAAGAATGTGATTATATAGAAATTTATTTTTTAAGTTAATGGTAGTTCAAAAAAACAAATGCGTTTACATTATAATAAATTTTTATAAAAAATTTTTTATTCTATGTGCTAATATATGCGCGTGACTAAATTACTATCAATGTATTCTGCGAACTTGAAGCCCTTTAATTGTTTATTTTCGGTACCCTTGGCTAGCTGGCATTCATTCAATCCATAACCAATCGTACCTATGCTTTTTATATGTTTTTTTTTATATTGTGTATTTGATTACTGAAATAAATTCAATATTGAATATAGATAGATGATATATATGCAATACCTAATGCAAATAAAATAATGTAATTTAATAATATAAATTATAACAGATAATAATTAAATAATAATTACATTATTATAAAAGCAAATCTTCATATTCATTCTAACTAGTTCAACAAATTTGTGTTTACAAAAATGTTTTAGTGGGTAGCAATAATTAGTACGTATTCAGGAAGCAATAATTTATTTTATCATTATGTAGATTATACCAAATCTAGTAACCTACCGAGATGAAATCTGTGTTGAAGGGTCTTTAGAGATTTTGTGATATCATGATCGGTACAATGTGCGCCTAATGAACTTCTTTTTTGATCAATGATTTCGAAACTGTTTCCCCTGGCTTTTACTATGTGTTCAAAACTAGTTTTACGCTTGCAAAATCTTTCCAAATATTGCTAGCGTTGTACATTGTATTCACTTAACAAAAATTATTTAAAAATTATTTAAATTATTATTGAATTTCGGTTTATCTAGTTTAGGATTAATAGATAATATCAATATCAATTTTAATTAATTTAATCTTATCTGTTATATATTCTAATTAATTAGAGTGTAGATACAGTAAATGTCAGTTCTATTGATCTTAGAAGCATTAGTTGATTAAATTATCTTTGTCTCGTGACTACCAAAATGTTATTACGTCATATAAAAATATTTACCCATGTAAATATATAATATCAGATATACTTTTAATTTTAACTTTAATTTTAATGCTTTATTTTTTGAGTCAATTTTATTTAAAAATATTAAATATATGTATGGCAGTTTAAATAAAAACGGTTTAATCCCAAAGTTTAATTTTTATCCTAGATCTATTCTAATATAAAATTTATATATAAGTTATAAAGCCTAAAGAATTAAAAATTATATATATAGTTATATAAGATGCGAAAATCACACTTTGACTGTACGTACGTATAATAAATGAAGAACAATAGATTCTGAAATCGGATAATACTAAAATTAGATGTTGCTGAAATAGAATGATGCTGATTAAATAGGTTTTAGTTCAGCACCAGCCGCGACATTTATTAACTAAAATATTATACAGGTAATAGATATTCGACAGGCTGCTGTGGATATCGCAGATTACCGCGGCGAAGCAGTGGTACTGCATGATGTCATGGCACACACCGTGAGATATTTAATATATTTCACGGTTCTTATGCCCATGGAAATAATTTGATATTTTCACGGCATACGTCATCATAAAAATATCAAAATATCATCAGAAATGTTCACAGCGAACATTAATGGCCGTGTATATAATATATATAACCCAATTATTATTTGTTGTTAAATTTTTATGCTGCTGTCTGTAGAGTTTATTTATTTTTAATTAATTAATTAGTTTTTAAATTATGGCGTTAGAAAAAGAAGCAGACCAAATTATATAATAAATATGTACTAGTTCTATCTCTAATATTATATAATATTATTAAATTAATTTTATTAATTAAATCAATCAATCAATCAATCAAAAGATTTATATGATTGAAATCTTTAGAATCAATCATCACCCATGTATACGAAAAGATCCAAATTTTATATGGAAATTTGTCATTTAAATTTAATTTATTTAAAATTACACATAATAAACCTTTCTTTAAATTTCAAATACATATTATTTAGCATTTAATCTTTAGTTTTATGAATTAAAATTTTTGGTACGTGACTGTAGAAATGTGACTTTTTTTATCACTTTAATAGTATATATATATGGTAATGAAACCCACAATTCCGATTCACACGCAAGATCGCTGAGTTGGGAAATTGAAATTCACCATTCGGAGTTTTTTTTTTTCCAAACAAGGAAATCCAAACAGGTTTTAAATCTTGTTTAACAATATTTAAAGTAAGTATATTTCAGTATAGTATATATCAGTAATATATTGATATTCGATATGGGACAATGCTTTTTAAAATCAATCAACAACGACAGTAACAAGGGTCCCATTAAAAAAAAAAAAAGAGCGAAGATCAATAATAAGAAGCGACTATACCTGATACTTATTATCATTTTGCTTTCATATTATTATCATACATCAATTATTCCAATTACTCGCAAATTCACCAATTAAAGTGATCTATTGATAGAAAACAAAGGATTAGCATAAATTGATTATCCGAAAAATTTTTTTTTCATTAATAAACTCCGACACTTCTTGTCTAAAATATGCAACCGAAAGTATTATAAAATTGTAATGCAAAAAATCATAAATAGCTATACATAGCATTTCCTTATTTTGCCATTGTGTTCAGAATTCTATAAATTGATTTTAGAAAAATTCGATCTTTACGAAGAATAGTTAGATTTCCGCTAACTTAAAAGTATAACCAACTGTACATACATACATAAGACATAAGTACAGAAAGTATACGTATCTTATTTACATACATACGTTTGTGTTTTAACACCAAACAAATTCTGCAAAAAAAATCTATTATATGTGTTTTTTAATTCAAAAAATGCATTTCATCAATAAATCAGAAAATCATCAGCCTAAACGTTGAGAAAATGATGCATCAATTAACTTCTTTGAACTGTATGATCACATAAGCGATATATTTTTAATTATTAATTCACAAAGATACTACTTATACATACATATTTATGAACCTATAATGTGTTGTTAAAAATAACGTATTTATTAACATTTAAACATAATCGGACATAATCGGTTTTATCACATTGTGCAGATCTTCTTCACAAAAAGGTTATAAACATGAAATAATTAAATTTGGTTTTTCAACTACTTAAAAAAAATCAAGAGCGTGGTATTGACTTTAGTTTGGCTGGATACAAACTAGTTTGATGGAGTTTAGGGTTTCACCTGTAAATATATATTCGTAAAACACACAACAAATAAATATATAAAATTTTTTTGAGATAGATTAAAAAAATAAAAAAAATTTATTATATATATATACATCGATATATACCTTAAAATATTACCTCATTTTTTTTGGTTTTAATGGGAAAACTAAATTTATTGTTCGGTAAGAAAAAACGTTCTTCTAATGATAACGAAAGCCCTGTCACTCCAATACCATCGACTCTAACGAAAAATGGGACCCCAAGACTATCTTTGGAATATTCTAAATCCGAATTTATTATTCCGGTGCCAAAAGCGATTTCTCCTCCACCTTCGGTACAAGCTCAAAAAGAACAAAAAAATGACGCTCTTTTAGATGAAATATTAAGCGAGTTGAGCTTAGTGGGAACAAAATGTATGTTCACTTAACATTAAATAAAATGTTTTTATCTACTCTTTTATTTATATTAATTTGATTTAAATTTTTTTTTTTCTTTTTTTTTTAGCGAGTAAACCAATTAAGTCTGACCATAGTCGTACTTCTTCACGATCTTCAGGAGGTTTGAGAGCTTTAATCTCAAGAAGAAAGGATTCTTCTGCTACAAGCTCATCAATAAGTAACGATCAATCTAATAATAACTTTACAACTTATAATAATAATAAAAACAATTATAAATTGAAAGTAAAAAAACAATTGGATAGTGAGGACTCTGAAACTGAAAGTGAGAGTGAATCGAGTGATAGTGAATCAAGTGATGGTAATCTTTACAAAAAAAAATCAAAAAAGCCTAAGAAATTAATGCAAAAAAGTAAGAGGCAATTGAAAGATAGTAGTGAGGATTCCACATCCGAAGCTTCTGATTCTAATATTAAAGGAAATGTAATAAGACGTGTTATTCCAAATAATGTTAACGAAGGAATTCCTGTCATTCAGCATAAAAATGAGATTACCCAAAAAATTGTAACTGTAGAAGATTGGGTTCAAGATGTAAATCCATGTGATGGTGTAAATAATGTACTTGATAGAATGAAGGATAGGCATCGTATGGAGGCAAGAGCGCCACATTTGTCGCCACCACAACTGCAACAACAATTATATAATTATCCAGATGATGATAGATATGATCGTAACGGAAGATACGAAAGAGAACCTCTTGATCGTATTCATGATGATTATCGTGAAAGAGATGATTATAGACAACCAAGAGACGATTATAGGCATCCAAGAGACGATTATAGGTATCCAAGAGATGATCCCAGGTATCCAAGAGATGATCCCAGGTATCCAAGAGATGATCCCAGGTATCCAAGAGATGATCCAAGAAATCCAAGAGATGATCCCAGATATCCAAGAGATGATCCCAGATATCCAAGAGATGATCCCAGATATCCAAAAGACTATCCGAGAGATGATTATAGACATCCGAGAGATGAATATCGATATGTTCATGATGATTCGGATTATCACTATCATGGGTCTCGTCAAGTTGGAACTGGTGGTCGTAATGACAATTTATATCCTATAGAAAATAAAATATCGAGAGAAAAACTTCGAAATAATAACACTGCTACCGTTCGATTTAGGAATAAAACTCCTAGTGTCGCTTCTGATGATCATTCACCTAATATAAAGCGATATTATGATAAATCTTCACAACAAATACCATCTAGCAGTCAGTCATCAAGTTCTTCTTCTTCTTCTTCACCAGAAACTGAATATACTTCTACAAGTCATTCTTTCCGAAGCAAATCTCCAAATCCTAATGTAAAAATACGCCCTAGTGTGAATGTATCTCCTCCCTCCATAGATGATTCACGTTCTAGACGTTCCTCAATGTCTTCAAGAAGTGATGTTCGAGAAATGGTTTACGATCGTTCGAGAATGTTCAAATCTAATAAATATAGGTCTAGGAATGAATCTGATGAGCGTTTATCAAGAAATGATTCTATAAGGAGTAAACGATCTCATACTTCTTCAATTTCTTCAAAGTCTAGTTCACTTAGTGAGCGCGTTAATAATGATATAATACGTAGAGAACCAATTAATAGGCATTTAGCAATATCAAATAATTTAGCAAATCGTGCATCAATTCTTTCTATAGATAGTGACATAGTTCCTTTAGGTAGAAAATACGGTTTAAATGGTTTAAATTTACCAAATGCAATTAATGAAGATGCTAGCGATTCACAATCTATATCTTCAAATCGTGAAAGTGTTGCAAGTAGTAGTACTAGTTTCAAAATATCTAATTCAAGACGAAAAAACATCCCCTCATCTAGGCGTTCCGCGAAGGCTTTATCTGATGATTTATCTTCTGATGATGATGATGATGAAAGTCATGTATCTACTACATATGATAATGATGATATACCGATACAAATGATAAAATCTGGAAGACAAGCACGTGTTGGACAAAATAATTCTAACATGCGTTATGAACCAGGTTATGATTTGCGTCCAGGTCCAATACCAAGGCATAATAATGGTCACAATGGATACCGAGAACGTGAGGATCCAACTGGTCGATATTTTCATGATGAATTACCACCACCACCACCTCGATATAATACATATCAATATCGTGATGATCGATACCCTCCTAAGCAACTTCCGTATGATATGCCCCGTTCAAAATATGGTTATCCACCACCACCTCAACCAACGCCGCCTTCAGATCCTGCATTAAACCCCAATAAAAAAGTACCATTAATAGAAATGGCTGGTTATCGGTATGATCAGACAAAACGTACAGCGAACCAACCATTTATGGCAAAAGATTCTCATCCTCGGCCATTTTCACCCGAAGGCTCACATAGAGGTGGTTATTTTCCAAGAGATCGTGGATATTTATCGCAGGAACGAGAATATCTACAATCACAGGAAAGAGATGAATATAATCCATCTGACAGAGTTTACTCTTCACGATTTTATGATCGTGGTGATAGACGTGAGTATGATCGTGAACGTGATGGATATGGTGTCGACAGATATGATAGATATAATGATAGATATAATGAAAGATATAATGATAGGTATAGTGATAGGCATAGTGATAGGCTTAATGATAGATATTGAGATAGACTTGCATATGATTATATTAATGATAATTTTGGTTTGTAAATAATTGTTTATTTATAGCCTTATATATATATACATATACCTTAAAAGGTTTAAATTATTTTTAAAAAAATAACTAGTTTAGTTATCGTAATTGTTCTAATTTCGAATGGTATATTATTAGTGTTAGCAGATGGAAACTTAATTTTAACTGCTAAAACTCTAATTCTGTAATTGGTAATTCTAATTTTTCATAGCGAAAATGTAACAAATACATTCATCAATAATATATAGATAATATTGTTAATTTTCTTGTTACAACTATCGATATATCGATCGTTTTTAATATCCCCATTATGCCTACGGCCCGAAGCCTTTTTGTATAAAGTTTCGGATTTCGGATTATCTTTACCGAAACTCAATCTTTATTTAGTGGTGATATATTAAATAAAAAAAATTTTTTTCTAAATAATCAAAACCGTTTTTACCATGAAGTTTTTACATCACTAATTCATCACCAATCTATTTTTTTTTTCGTAAAGACGTAAAAAGTCTATCAAATTCATGTGAATAATAATTCTATTAATAAAAATTTACTATATCGAAGGAATTTTATATAGACTGGCTTTGAGTCTAACCCTATAATATAGGGGATTTTCACGCCATGAGAAAACCTGCAATTGTTGGTTTTTTTCGAAATTTCTTTTCAGAAACATCTTATATAATGATAATTATAATGATAATTTGTTTCATAAAAGCGGAATTTCCGAAATTAAAGAATTCCAAGTTGGCAACACTCATATCTGGAATTCATTGACGTGTGACTTGTGCTTTAATATACGTACGTATGTAGTTTTAATGAAAAAAATTTTGTGTAATTTTGGTTTATAATCTGATAAATTTAAATAACATCAATTAACTTGGATAAACTGAGATAAATCAATAGCTCATTTTTAAATGATTTAGTTAAACAATATGTTCTTTTTACTTATTCAATAAATTCTTGAAATACAAATTAAACTATGTGAATGAATTACTCTTTTATAGGTACTTGCAATAGTAAGTATTTATAGTTATTTTAAATATTAACTAACGCTAATATTTTGTATTTAAATTACAAGCTTTTTAATATAATATACTATATGCAAAACCTGTAATCGGACTTTCAATTATATTTTGTGTACAGTTAGTCATCTATGGAAAATCTATCATTATAATAGATTTCCGTAGATGGTTAACTGTACACAAAATATAATTGAAAGCCCGATGACAGGTTTTGCACTCATATAGTTTTAATTAATTAAATTTTTTTTGCAGAATATAAAGTTAAATTATAATCAATTAAATAACTAGACTTATAACTTATAAATAAGTATAGTTAGAAATTTACTTAATATATTAAAATTACGTTGTAAATTTAGAATTATTAGCTTAGTTTTTTGGAATTAGATTTCAAATAAATTTTTGAAAAAACTAGTAAAACTTAAAAAGATTTAACCTTTAAATTATACATACTGTATTAATTGGATGAACTTATTTGGTAGATTTAATTTAGAATTTAATATAGAATCTAACTAAGTTTTATAAAATTTATTGTATATTTTTTATATAATTTAAAAATTTAAGGTTAGAACCATTTTTTCTAAATTTACAATTTAATATTTTTATATTAACTTAAAATATCAATTATTTTATTTCAAATTCTAAATCAAGTTAAGTAAAATACAATTACTGTATATAAAATAGGTTTAATTTATTAAAGTTTGAAATAAAATAATTATTTAAGAATTGTTACAGATTAAAATGAAACTAGGGACCTCTCTTGCTCACCTTTAAAGCTTATAAAACCTATCCCTTAAACTGTAGAGTTCGTGTAACAATTTTAGCTTAAAAATAGCATAAATTTAGTTATGATCTATTTTTTTAATATTTAAAATATTTAAATAAAATTTCATATAATAATATTTGAAAATAAGGATTATCTTTTTATAGT